TGTAAATTATTAGGTATTGTGGTATGGCCCGCTAGCTGCGGGCCGCACGAATTCGGCGTTCCCGCGTACATCAGGACCCCTAGTCAGCTGATTGTAATTCAGTAATTCCACTGCTGGTTTCATGTTTAAGTATTTTCATGATGTTTTTTATGAAATTATCGTTTCATTTAGCTGTACTAACATGATAGAGAATGAATAAAGCTAATAAAACGTGAAAAGACGATTTTTTTTTCATCAGGATCGATTTCATATTTCACCTATCATCAAAGGTATAGTTGGTACTGTCGTCTGTCTTTATTTTCGGGAGCGTTTCAAAAATACCCTGTATACACAGGCTTCTCCTAGTGACTTAGCTGTAGCTATTAACGCCATAAACAATGACAAAGCGTTACTTTCGAACTTATGGCTTGAAAATTAACCCCCTGACGACGCAAGTAATTATTACAGGTACTTCGTATATGCTTGCATAATTTTATTCACCTGAAACAATCCAAGTTGTATTGGATGGTAATATAATCTCGAATAGTGACACTCAAAAACTTGGGTCTACACGCAGAGCAAATACACAGAGGAGGTGTTGTAATTAGATTTTACATTAGATTTGACTACGCGGGACTATTTGCTAAGTAAAGCCACACCCACTGTGATGACGTCAGGACCTAGTTAGAATCATAGTGCACAGTTGCTTATGCCATCTTCTCTTTGTATTTGCTTCGTGGGTCTAAAAAACGATAAGAATTTATCTTAAGGTCCTCAGTTACAGGAAGTTAGTCGTAAACTTTTTGCAGCTGCTAATTCCTTGGGAAGCTTACGGAGCGTCTTACCTATTTGCCACTAAGATTGCATTCGCGCAAACTCTTTTTCCAACCCCTGATTATGCAGATGTCAGCTATCTTAATTTCACAGAATTTCTCTCGCTTCTTTATAATGTTCTTTTCAATGTTTCATATCATTTTTACCTAAATAATCGTTTAATATTCCTCCATGACCACATTTATTTTTGATATCCCAGACGTCAGTCTGAGCGAGATTAGAATGGTTCTCCAGCACCTTAAAAACGGCAAGGGCCCAGGTGAGGATGGAATTAAAGCGGAGCTTCTGAAAGCGGGTGGAAAACCTGTACTTAAAGTCCTTCAGAAGCTCTTTAGTTCCTCCATGGTGGGACTACTCCGGAGGCGTGGAGCAGAAGTGTGGTGGTCTTGTTCTTCAAGAAAGACGACAACACTCTCTTGAAGCACCACAGACCGATTTCCCTTCAGAGCCGCGTCTACGTGCTGTTTTAGAGAGTCATTACGAATCTTCTCGCATGCAGACTCGACGACTTACAGCCTCCCGAACAAGCCGGTTTCCGAAGAGGCTATGGTACTAAGCCATAGATCACATACACACCCTTCGGAAAATTGTACAGAAGAGTACAATCTGCCACTTTGCGGTATCGGTATATGTTACGGCCTACGGCTGCTCCCTTAAAGGATCCAATCTTCAGGGGCCCATGAGCTGAAGATTTCCCGAACAGACGTAGGTCGGGCCCCAATGTGGCCACGTGGAAATTCCTAATTACATTAAAATATATGGGGGAGCGTTATACTACGGCCAGTCAACCGGAAGGAATTTGGATGAAGCTTACTTACCTATCCAAGGCGACTGGTCCCTCCGGAGTCGGTCAGGTCGCATGTGGTTGTGTAGTGCAAGGGAAGGAATGGTGATGTGGTGTGTATCTGGGTGTGACTGATGGTGATTGAACCTAGACCTTGGCCGTCGGCAGCAGCCCGAGCGTCGACACCGCTCCAACTTGAGGGCGCCTTTCGAGGTAGTCCACAGTCACTTTCTTCTTTCGTCACGTTGCCAGTCAATTAACTCTATCGTACGATTTACTAACTTACAGAAGCCACTAACTATCGCTGGGTATAATGGTTCCCGCACAAACGCACACGGAGTTTAAAGGGTCCAAGGTCACTACCGTTTCGCGTAGCAATAGTTAATTGGAATATCAGAGGCAGCACTATCTAATATTGCCGAATGCACTTATTCAGGTTTTGAGTCAGACACAATAAGTCCCGGGAAGCTCTCCAGTAGGAATGCGCGTCACAATGATAGACCGTATATTTACTGGCCGCGCGGAATTATTCCGAGTTCCCTAACAGAATGGACCGCGTGCTCACGTCAGCACCGATTATGGGCGACTGACTTTTCGCTCGCGACTCGCGCGCTCGTGCCACGCCCCAGCCGAAGTTCAAACCGGAATCGCGCCGAGCCGAGTGACATCTGGTGTCGACTCCGACATCAACGTTTTGCGCGAACAGTATAATTTGGGCATCTTTTCAGGATCAAAGAAAAACACAACAAGAAACTAAGAAATTAAGGAATCCGGGATTGGGATAAATTGCAAGAATCTTGCCAAGGTTACGGATGATACAGTCGTTGCTAGTAATAGACAAAATGCTTTTCTTAACATCACAAGCAGTGCAAAATAAAAGGCGAATGACCTGATCATTCATCTTTTGTTAGGAAGTGCTGAAAGATTATTTTAATGTATTTAATTTAATTTTCCCATTAAAGTCATGCGAAGAAGAGAAGTGTCGATTTAGTGAATTAATATTGAAATCCCTAGTCATTCATCATTTTTTTCTTCAAAAATAATCATCATCATGATTACGTGACTTTTCGACCCCCATATTACTCTGAGAAATTTCAGACTTTAGCTAGATCCCCATTTTTTACGGATATATAGCTATGAATATTTTAGTTTTCGCAAGCTAAAATTAGTCTTCGCAAGCTAAAATTGCGTTGCAGAATAAATTTTGACTTACTTTTAGGAGCATGTATTTTATACGAAAAAAATATATTAAGGTCACGAGAGAAAGCATCAGTTGAGCATTGACTATGTTTAGAGACTAATTCAGTGGAAGTCACAAAAATGAGGTCAAGCAGTGACGAAGTAGTGAGTGACGGAGGAATGCATGGCGCAAGCTATATCCTCACACATCTCCCCCTCACACGGGATGTGCCGAGGTCGACGTGTGAGCCTGTATGACTTTCAAAGAATACCATTTTTTGATTCTGTCCATGAGATAGGTACGCAACCTTTGATGACACACAATCTTTACAAAGTTGTAAACGAGTGATTTGAGGACGATAAATCCATAGACTTAGAATATACTGGCGTATAAATTTATGAATAAATCCGATACCACCTTGGGACAGATGGTTGCCCTTCTAGCGATAAATAAATCAGCAAAATTATTAACATTAAAGTTAAAAGTTACAGCTTATATACACGTCCCACTGCTATGCACAGGCCTCCTCTCATTTCTGAGAGGGTTTTAGGGCAAGGAAAGGTCCGCCGCGCAGCCCCAATGCGTGTTGACGAACTTCACATATCTTCGAAATATATTTTGTTTTCTTATTTGTCACACATGCATGTTTCCTCGCGATGTTTTCCTTCATCGCTGAGCATGTGGTAAATCAGCACTTAAAATTGCAATTAACAATTTCATTGGTGCCGGCGGGGATCGAACCCGGGTTTCTCGCGTACTGTGAAACTTACAGCGAGCGCTAACCATCTGAGCTACCACGCCTCTGGCAACGTCCAAACAGGTAACTACCAAACTAATTAATCACCATTGGAGAAATGTTAAAATAGCTAAGTATTCCCAGTATAATGTCGTAATCGACAGAATTAAATAATATTCAGCTTTATTAGTACAATTTAAAAAAATCTTAAAATAACACTAGCACGAAACTTGTATATCTCTCTTGACTACCTCAAGATAGATTCCGAATCGTTAGCTAAATCTCTTGCACGTACAATTTTGTATTTGGACAAGTTATTATAGGGTACGGTCATCATCGATTTTTAATCTATAAAAAAATATTTAACGTCATGTGCCCATTATTATTATAATCCTCTATATTTTAATCTTATCTGTGACATAAAGTAGGGTGGAAATACACCATTTTTTCTTTGAATCGCATTTTCGAATTACAGTAACACATGCCTTTGAATCGATTAATAGATCGAATCGCATGCTCTTGAATATCTTAAAAGTCAATTCAAAATTTGCAAAAAATACATTTTTATTTTAACTATACTAGTTTTTGCATCAGCCCATTTATTTTAAATAAACATGTGACTGACGACAATATGACTACGAGAGTATTAAATATAAAATGCCGCTCAGTATGAATAAAAGCTATTTTCATATCTAGTGATAATTTGAAATAACAACTTTTAGAAGTCAACCCGCTTAATGTTTTATTATTCCTCAAGTACTAAGATAAAATATTTTAACTCATATTTAAGTGCTTTTTAAGGTCAAAATTGGCCTTTACAAAGCCAAGTTATACTTTGTCGGCATATAAATTCTTGCAATTCCAACAGTAATCGTTTTTGCTTTATCAAGATAAAAATTATTGTCAGGAAATAGGCATAGCGAATTTCGTCACCAAATGTCGCTAGTAGGGATTGAGATGAAGTTATGTTACACAATATCATTTAATGGAGAAGTTGCATTTTAAATAAAATTTTATCAGTTTCTACAGCATTAGATAATTGCACAAAACAATGCCTCAGTAGTTTGTCGCTACATGCTTTTCACATTTTTAACTGTTTTTTTATTTTTCTTCTTTTAGGAATATCTGTAGTTTGGATTATTTATTTATAATATAATTAATATAAAACATGACTAACATTACAAAAGGAAACATTAACCCTTCCATTTTCCAAACAAATTAACTTCTCCGCCATGTAATTTGTCAAATATTTTACCTCGCTTCTAAGTAGCGCCGCCCTGGTGGCAAAAAAGTAGTGGGTACCCGCATTGGACGAGGTGAGTTGGGCACACTTGACATAAATATACAGATACGATTCATCCTTTTCTTGAATCGATTTGCTTGTGGATCGCATTGCAATTAATCGATTCATGAAATCGGTATATCGTATGTCATGGAATCGATCTTCATAAAAATCGAATTGTAAAGTGCACTGTGCATCCCTAAGCATAAAGGCAAGCGAAGCGTAGTGGAGGAAATGCACGGGATTTGTGCTCTGTTGAAATAATACGTCATCTTTTATTCCAAAGTGATTTCATAAATTCGTTTGTAATTTCGATTACAACTACTATTTATTGTTTAAACAGTAAGTAAATTAGGATACTACGAAGCAGTACTTTTACGTTTGTTACGGGTGCTTTGTTTGGTTTATGGTGTAGTGCTATACAAGCGCATAATATAACCTATCTGCGCTTTGTATAAAATCTATGGGGCTGTAGCCTTGTAATTGATACAGACGCAAGTGATGTGGATTTTAGAAGCTAATGTAATTATGAAATTGTCAATACGTCATCAACTCCAATGTTATTATGCGAATAGCTTTTGCCGCGCTCTGTGGACTGTTTATTGATGCGTCCATTGCAATTTCACAGACAGAATGCCGGCAGCGCGAGGAGTAAAACGGACAGCATCCAAATCTTCGGCCACTGCATCAACCGCAGCACCAAAAAATAAGAAAAAACGTGGAAGTAAGTGTTCAAAAAAAGCTTCTGGTAAATTGTTTTCTTTACATTTATGTACAACGTCATTGACCTGTCAAAGCATGATGGCGGGAAACGCGTCGCATAAGTTGAAGTTCCAGTTGGCGCTAAAAAGACTTAATAATTTTTTAACTTGCGATTTCATATTTGTATTTCAGTGTTTTGGTTTCGTTTTTTTTATGTAACTGTACAGAAATTATACTCTTGATTTAAGTTTTTGAGGTTAACTGATAGCCGAGTAAATTAATAATTTAGATATTTATCATTACTAATTAAGGAAAACTATTTTTACATGAAATCGTAACTACAAGAAATTATAAATTTAACGAATTAAAATTTTTGGGAATCCTGCCATAATCAAAAATTTGGATATTAGCCTAATGAGTCATGTAAGTGAAAGTCAGGACATGATGATGTTAATGTGCATAGTTTTTAAAAACGTCATTATTCAAAAGGTGACATAAAAAAAAATTTAACTCACTTTTTGAATAATTTAAAGTCTTCCATCATATTTAGCATTTCTTAATATATTGTTCTTAATATAGTGTAACACACTGATTATCGAATTACTAAACCAGTCGTTATTCAGTCATACAGGAAAATAAATTGAATAAATATCTGTTATTTACTGTTAGTGGAAAATTTTCTATGATCTGTTTAAAAAAAAAAACCTCTTTATCTAAATATCGTCCCAACACTAGGAAATTATATATTTCTCCTGTATTGTTGTGGAAGTTTACACAAATTGATCAAGGACGAACATCCAGGTATGGAACAAATACAGTCGACTGTTAATTCAAACCTGCGATCATTCGAACCTCTTTTATAATTCAAAGTTAACACAAGTTCCCTACAATATCTCTTTATATTTCGAACTAAATCAATACATTTTTATGCACTTGGTAATTCGAACAAAAATATCATTGCTACGTAACAAAATGACGCGTTAATTCGAACTCATCGGCGTCAAACACTACAATTCAAAGATGCAGAGAGAAAGGCACTTTTCTCATAAAAGAAGTTATAGTACAGTTACAGTATAACAGAGTTCTATCGAAAGATTAATCAATTCACATTATGAATATGTACACGTATGTACCTCTAAACTATTGTTATTGTTAAAGAATAGCAGTGAATAAATAATAATTGATCAACACTTAATAATTCGAAGTTTTATTTATTTTCTCTCAAAAATTTCGAACCATTTGATATTTCGAACACTCGATAATTCGTAATATTTTAAGAGTCCCTTGAGTTTCGAATTAACGAGAGTCGGCTATGTATCTATAGGCCAAATGCAAGACTTGTTCCATATGGGATTTAAACCCACGTCCCTCAGTGCTGTTAATCAATGCTAATTAACTACTATTAATGCTAAGCCAATTTGATAAGCTGTAATGATGATTATGGCAGAAACAACATCCAGTAAGCTGTTTAATTTGTCTCTAATATATCTATAAATCTAATTTATAATTAAAAATGAAGTCATTAATTCTCAAGAATCCTAATTAGTTTCAATTAGATTAGGATGAGTTCATATTGCATTAGACTTTTATGAGATAGAATTAATTAACTGTTGAATTCATTATTTAGCAATACAACTAGACATCCCAGCAGCGCCTAAGAAAAGAGGCCGTATCTTTAGTTGCGGACAGGGGGATGTGGGACAGCTTGGCCTCGGTGAAGATGTTGTTGAGACTACCAAGTAAGTAACAAAGTAGAAAGTATTTATTTGTCACAAAAAATATAATGTTTAAGTAGTGTGACTTAACAGAAACTGTTTAATAGTAAATTGTAATGGGAAATCCATTATTCCTGCAAAGCCTTTGCGCATTATTCATACAGGGTCTGAGGCAAGTGATGAAATAAAATACATGTATCTTAAAATAAAACTAACATTAAATAAATAAAACTTCAAGTGGTAATTTTGAAATTTTGTACAAACAATTTCAATATGAATTTTATTTTATTTATTTTATTTATTTACTCTTTATTGTACACCAAAACAAAACAAAAACGAATACAATTAAATCTAAATTAGAAAATGTACAACAGGCGGTCTTATCACTCTGAAAGTGATTTCTTCCAGACAACCTTAGTGTAGAGAACTGATGTAAATAATAGTTAAAAATAGAGGGGGGCGTACAAAATAAAAATAAAAAATATAAAATACATACAAATAAAGGCAAGTGAAGATTATGTATGATATAATATAATAGATTAAATGAAAAGAGTACGAAAAAGGAAAAGTGATTTATCTAATAGTGTTCTAAGTAATAGGATTTAACAAGACATTTGAAAGAATGAAGAGATTGAGCACGACGAATGTGGAGAGGTAAAGAGTTCCACAAACGTACAGCAGTTACACTAAAGGATTTCTTAAAAAAGGAGGAAGAGTGCGAAGGAGTAGAGAGAGAAAGATTGACGGAGGATCGAAGGAACCGATTATGGGTAAGGGAAAGATACTGGAAACGGTCTTTTAAATAATGAGGAGAGGAAGGATTAAACAGCACGCTATACAAAGTAGAGAGAATGTGAGTATTCCTGCGAAGGCGGATCGGGAGCCATTTGAGCTGTTTGCGAAATTCAGAGATGTGATCATATTTGCGAAGCCCAAATATGAATCTAATACATAAATTTTGAATGCGCTCAAGCTTATTAAGCTGCTCCTCGGTAATGTCAAGATAGCATATGTCAGCATAGTCAAGGATAGGTAGAAGTAGAGACTGGGCGAGCGTAACTTTATTTACTGTGGGAAGAAAATTACGTAATCTACGTAAAGAGCTTAAAGCAGCAAACATTTTTCTACTAACCTCATTAATCTGTGAGGTCCAAGACATACAAGAGTCGAGATACAACCCCAGGTTTTTAACCTTGTTACTGTAAGGGATTTGAGTGCAGTCTAGTAAAATAGGAGGTAGTGAAGACCAGTCAATTTTTCCAATTAATCTAGAACTACCGATGATAATTGCCTGAGTTTTCTTGGGATTGATCGTTAAACCATAACGTTTACTCCAATTCGAAATACAAGTCAGATCAGCGTTAATAGTGTCAACTGATTTAGACAAATCTTCAAGAGAAGATTGAGTATAGATTTGGAGATCATCAGCATACAAGTGGTAGGAAGAGGACAGATTATGACTTATAGAGTTAATGAAAATTGCAAACAGGAGAGGAGACAACACGCCACCTTGTGGTACGCCAGCCGCTGTAGCAGTCCAGGTGGAAAAAACATCTTGCACCTGAATGCGCTGTCGGCGACCAAACAAGTAACTTCGAAACCAGTCAACTACAGTTGGAGATATGTTGAGAAAGCGCAGGATGCCCAACAAGATATCAAAATCTACTGTATTAAATGCATTACTAAAATCAAGTAACGTAAGAATGGTAAGCTTTTGTTTCTCCATACCATACCGAATATCATCAGTGATTTGTAAAAGTGCAGTAGTCGTACTATGGCCAGGACGGAAACCGGATTGCAAAGGATTTAAAAGATTATGTTTTAAAAGATAGATGCTTAATTGATTGTGCACAAGACGTTAAAGAACTTTGGAAAGGAAAGGCAAGATAGAGATAGGTCTATAATCAGAAAAACTAGACGGATTCGACTTTTTCGGAAGAGGAACTACAAATGCATCTTTCCAAGCTGAAGGGAAAATAGAAGAATTCAGTGAATTATTCAGGATGGAAGTGATTACAGGTGAAAGGAGATCAATGAGAGGGATGACCATTTTCCGACTAATGCAGTCACTACCAATTGAATTTGAATGGATGGACATTATGGCTTTCATAACATCACAACTGTTAAATTGACTAAAATTAAAAGCAGAGGTGTCTGGAGCGGGAGTTTTTGAAAGGGAATCCAAAGTATTGTGTTTTGCATTATCGTTAATGCAAGACGAAGATGAGAAATGCAAATTAAGTTGATTGAGATCAAAGTTAAGGTGAGTGAAATTTTGTCGTAATTTCCCAACTCCTAAAGACTTAAGAAATTTTCAGACCCTAGCAGGGTCAGGATCTTGTACTGATTCATGGATATGGCGTCGTTGTGCTTTTCTACACAGATTGTTGCAACGATTCCGTACTAATCTATACTTCTCTCGATTCAGGTCGCTAGGAACTGACTTGTATTTCGCTTTGGCACAATTTTTAATGTGGATGATTTTTTTTATATCATCAGTCAGCCATGGAGAGGGAGGATGTTTTACACGCACTGGACGAACAGGAGCATGAACGTCATAAAGCTGAATTAACAAAGAGTTGAACAAAGCTACCTGTTCATCAACAGTGGAAGCATTGACGACTACATTCCAATCAATTTTTCGAGCGCTGCTTCAAGTCCAAGTTACTAAAGTTACGCTGAAGTAGGATCCTTGACTTAGCTTTAGGGGGACGGATTTTGTAAGACAAGTATAAAAGGTCATGATAGGAAAAAGAATCAGCAGCATATTGCCCAAATTTATGAACAAGGTCAAGTGAAGACACAAACATTATGTCAAGAAGAGAAGGGGCACAGTTCGGGAAAAAGTGTGTGGCAGAAGTAGGAAGAAGTTTAAAATTTGCTGCTTCGATAACAGATTTTAGTTTAATTGATCTGGCGTTGGTTTTTAAAAGACAAGTATTAAAGTCACCCATAATTATACTATGACAATAGATAGGTGTAAGATTTTCAAGAATATTTTCTAACGTGGTGAAGTAGTCAACAGTGAGAGAGGGGCTGTAAAAGACTCCGAGAAGTAATTTAGTATGACCGAGAAGAACTTCGATAAAGAGAAATTCTGCTTCGCCTCCAGTCTGAGAACCAGTTGAAACCTGAATTACTGAATACGGTATATGAGAGCGTAGTTAAATAGCAACACCGCCGCCGCACCGATCGGTACGGTCGTTACGAATCAAATGAAAACCTGGAAGCGAGTAGGATGTTGATGGAAGACATGGTTTTAACCATGACTCCGAAACAAGGATAGCGTGTATATTTTTGCTATTAAAACTTGACAACATGTCGGGGTAATGAGCAGGAATACTTTGAGCATTTATGTGAATAGCATTAAAGTTTTTGCTACATTCAGTAAAAATTGAATCTAACATAATATTTAAGGGTGCAATGCTTTCAAAGCTATCAATGCTGCTTAATCCATCAGAAGCAGAATCAAAGGCGAAGGAATTGGAACTCCGAACACTATCATCTGAAGAAATCATATTAAATTATACCTGATTACTTAATGTATGTATATAAGTATATATATATAAATATGTATATATATATATATAAATAAAATATGTATATGTATATATAAAATAGATAAATTCAAAAATAAATAAGTCATCAGTAAACTACCTGCCAGCAGTATTGAAAGAAATCTATAATTAACTTAACAATAAATGAAGAAACGGAACGTTAACGCACCATAGACACAAAAAGTGAGAGGTGTCAATGTCAGATGAGTCAAAATGTCAAAAAGTGACAATACGTTAGTACGTTAACTTACCAATTAACTACATACCTTGCATAACTTATAATAATAAACATTCCAATGAAACATTATACTAATAATAACATACCTTACAGAAAGAAAAAAAAAATTATAAACATTCCAAAGAGATATTTATTAATCATTACATTTTACTATCTAATTAACGATTAACAATGAATATAATTTATTCTTGATTTTTTTATAAACTATAAATAATAATAATAACTAATATAATATAATAATAACTAAGTATAGCCTTTGAAACAAAAAAATAATTTTCCAAATCATATCAGGAGTCTGAGTAACCGGTGAACATACATTAAAAAATATATATTCCCACGAATTGAGAAACTCCTCCTTTTTTAAGCCCTTTGAAAAATACAAAAAATGTTAACAATTTTATGTAACAACCAATATTCTGCTAAGAAATATGCATGGTGTTAAATAATCTTGTTTATTTTTGATATCATAAGTCTTGTTTTGTGAAAGTTGAAATGGACTAGCCAAGTTTAAAGATAAAGATATTTTAGGAATAGATGGATATACTTTTTCGTAAGAGGCATACTAAACCTGTTTGTGCCTACAGCATAAATGGGTCGACTTGACTCGGGAAGGATAAGAACCAAAGCCCCTTTTAACTGTTAAGAGGATTGTATGTTTTCCCCACTATGTGGCAATGAATGGGTGAAAATGTATTTAAATCAATGATAAATGTATGAGTCCATAGTTGTAGTTCACAGTAACCTACCATCATTGGGACTGTAAACTTTTTGTCACATTTACTTGGTAGAGCAATGCTGCAGCTATATTAATTGTATTGTTGTAGCACGTATGGGTTGGCTTGACCGAGGAAAGACTACGCTCTCACATAATACCAGCATAAAATAGCGGCTTAATGCTGCTGTGTTTCCTATGGTGAGTGTAGAGAACCGGAGACCCTTTTTACTGGAAAAAAAGCATTCCATCTTAATCCTAATGGCTGACAACACATCTGCATTTTGATTCCCAAACAAGGGTAGATGTAGATGTCTATTGGTTACAGCAACTGCTTACCATCTGGTGGACTGTGTGCTCGCTTGTCATCGTTGTCCTACAAAAAATATTATTGTAAAAGAAAATTAAAATCTAACTTCAAGATCTAAAAAGTTCAGTTCAGTTAGTGTGGGTGTAACGTTTAAAAAAAAAAGCTAAGTTCAGGACTTTAATAAGCTGTAATGAATGTCTGCTTTTACTTTATTTAAAAAAAAAATTACACCAATTACAGTGCACTACGGTATTTCTTAACCTTAAGGTCTACAAGATCTAAATAATTATTAAAAACTTCATCCTTATAGTATTTATTAGTTACCTATTAAATAGGAAAAGAATTATTATAATTGTTTCACAATTTTTTTTTTAATATGATAAGGGTGGTAGGACCACATATTCCATCTGATGGTAAGTGGTTGCTGTGGACCATAGACTTCTGCATCTATTCTCGAATACGAATCAAAATACGGATGTGTTATCATCCGTGAGGACTAAGATGGAATGCCTCGTTTCCAGTAAAATATAAATTGAGCTGCTATTATATGCTGGTATTCTATGACAGCGAGATCCTTTCCCGGTCGAGCTGACCCATTCGTGCTACAACTATAATACTGATATTATTAGCTGCAGCATGGCTCTACCACTTAATTAAGAATTGGCGAAGATATCTCGTAACATTCATTTAAACAAAAAAAAAACACAGGTGAATTGAGTCTTCCTTTTTTGAAATTGGGAGAATAAAACACCCCTTCATAATTATTTATCAATGTCTGAATTTTCAGGTTCAAACATGTGTCAGCCCTTGGTGACAAGATAGTGGATGTATGCGCAGGTGGAATGCACACAGTAGCTCTAGACAGTGATGGCAAGGTGAATATAATAAAGTTGTTAAATTTACATGTCCAAAGGCAACAAAGTCAAAAAACATGATACTTTCTAGAAAAATCTGAAACTATAGAAAAACAAGATTTTGTAACATAAAATGTTGTCAATTATTTGCACATCTGTAATTCCCCCAGTATTACAGTTAATCTTGGGCGGCTGTCAACATTTACCATCAGGTGAGCTGCATGCTTGCTGGTCCCATTTTCTATAAAAATAAAATACATGCCCAGGCATTACCACTGACCCTCTTACAATCAGAAGTTTTCCCCACATTACTAGTTGTGAGGAAAACAGAATATCTACAAAATTGCACCTTAGCTTTTTTTATTGATTATGATTTTAGAATATAAAACTAGTTGCTAATTTATAATAATAATAATTTGTTCCGGTATAATAAGTATTATTATTTTAGTAAAGAATATGCAATGTCAACACATTATAAATTTTTGGGCTGGCACAATAATTGATGGTTACCATTCCACATACGTTTTTAACAAGCAATGGTGGTCTCCTTATCGAAAATGCATAATAGTTTCATTGTTGACGCCTTTTTAACCCCATAGAGAGTAACTCCGCGGGGGTCATTCACACCCCAGGGGGTGACGTATAGCGCCGACGAAAATAAACCGTTAATAAAAGATATTTGAAAATATTTTTGCTCTTGTCTTACATTTGTTATTAAGGAACTATTGGAAATTTAGTAGTTAGAAATTACAAAAGTTACATAACAACACTAAAAGAAGTTGCATTGACTCTTGTTTTTTTTTTTTATTAAAGTGGTAAGAAAGTAAAGAGGAATAGAGCCACAGTTGTAATTTGCAACTAATATTTATAAATCCAAATACCCAGTTTCATTATTAATATTGTAATACCTATAGTATTACAATATTATTTTAAAACACTCAAAAATGAGAGCTGTTATTTAATAGGTGTGGACATTTGGTTGCAACGATGAAGGTGCTCTAGGACGGAATACCAACGGTGAAAAGGACGAGGGCACTCCTAAAACTGTTACACTTCCCAAAAAGGCTGTAGCTATATCAGCAGGGGACTCGCACACTGCAGCACTTTTGGACAATGGAGATGTGTATGCTTGGGGAGCTTTCCGGGTAAGATATAAAAAAAAAAAAACATAATATTGAAATACTTTCCTTTTATTAAGCTAATGGGGTTGTCCATTTCCATTGGATTTTAAGAAATGCCTTAAATGGTGTTCTAAAAATTTTTGTCTGTCTAGAATGAATGGAAAGTTGTTAAGGAAACTTCATGAACAGATAGAGAGGAATACCAGAAGTGATTTAAGCTGTTTTATTTGAAAATCTTAGTTTAAAAAATAATTCATATAAAATAAATGGTCTTTGATGATTATCTCTATATATAAATATCAATTGCTCTCCGTTAGTCTTGCTAAAACTCAAAACTGGTGTGGCTGATTCTCATGAAATTTTTTGTGTGTATTTGAGTCGGTCCCTGGATGGTTTAGATTCACAATTGGACCCAGTAAGTGGAGCTGTTGTCGAGATCCAGAAATTACCCGTGCGATGCCAGGGCGTATCGCTAGTCTTAAATGTAATAAACTACACATATAAATCTCACCTGGATGAAAGTGCTGCATGTCCCTAATAGATACATTAAATATCTTTACAGTAATTTTCTTTAGTAGCTTTATTTATGATAAGCCTATGTCAACATACCAACTTCACACTTCGAACTTGACTTCTCGAAGAATATACCGTCCAGCTATCCTGTCCAACTTAATTGTTAATTTGCTACTTAACTTGCTGATGGCCGTTCAAACAAGATTTTTCACTTAACGCGCCATTCATTGTATTGCATAGTAATTTATTCTTTTATATACAAATTATTTCAAAGATGTGAAGTCACCAACACACATTTGAGGCAGTGCAGTGTAGACTTCCTTGAATCCTCTTAGAAAAGAATGGAGGCCTGTGCCCAGGGGGATGTATAAATGCTGTCCCACACTTTTTTTAATTAGTTGGTTTTTGTAATAAGACAATCAGAGCTGAGAGACAAATTTATCTTTTTGAACCTAGGACTTAATATTGACTCAATTCAACAACTACACTTGGCAGCTTTTTTGATTAATATTGCAGCTGATATATTTTTAGCACATTTCTTCTGAATATAAGACAAATTACCAACTGACGTCCATCCAATTCACAACTGAATTCTGTAATAGGCAGTTGGTTTATTGTCCATAAAACTTGCAGGATTCACATGGCAGCATGGGTCTGGTTGTCCGTGGCAGAGAAGGCAAGGCGTGCCGAGAACCCGTCCGACTGGATATCGGAGAAACCGCAGCTGGTATAGCTTCGGGTGGAGACCATCTAGTTGTGTTGTCTGTTAGTATTGTATTATATATATTAAATTGTATTGTAAGAACCTTAGGGATGGAATGGTAAGTGCAGCGGAAGAAGTGTGTGGAACAATAAAAAGAGGCAGTAGTAAAAGAAGAGATGCATGGTGGAATGATGAAGTGAAAGAAGCTGTAAAGAAGAAGAAGAAAGCATGGTTAGACTACTTGGCCTCTAGTAATGATAAGGATATGAGAGAGAAGATGAAAGAAAGATATAAGCTGCAGAAAGTTCACACGAAAGCATTGATTGAGGAAGTGCGTGAAAGGTGTAGAATGGAAGCGGATGAAAGGTTGTCGCACAACTTTAAGGAGAACTCCAAACTCTTCTGGAAAGAGGTTGGAAGGACCCGAAGTGGTGCGACGGCCTTAAGAATGAACAAAGTGCTTTCGAGAACTAATGACGTCCTCTCAGAAAAATCGGACGTCATGCAGCGATGGAGCGAATTTTATAGAGAAATGTATGCGTGTGATGATCTTAGTGAGGGATCCGGGGATGACGCCGTGACTGGCATGCCAGACCCGGACCTCGATGACACTGAGGTCATCAGTATGAAAGAGATTGAACGTGCGATTCGAAGTTTGAAATGTGGTAAGGCTGCGGGACTAGACAGAGTTACTGCTGAAATGGTCAAGTATGGTGGGCCTCGCGTCTGGGACAGCTTTCATCTGCTGTGCAATTTGTGCTGGCGGACGGGGGATGTCCCGGATGATTGGCGATCCGCAGTCATTGTGCCTTTATATAAAGGTAAAGGTTCACATTTTGACTGCGGGTGCTATCGGGCGATCAGCTTGACCAGTTTAGCAAGTAAAGTTTACTCGAAGGTTTTGACACGTAGGAGGCAAGAGAAATCGGAAAGATTTCTATGGGAGGCACAATGTGGATTTAGACCTGGAAGAGGATGCACGGATCAAATGTTTTCTCTCCGTATGATCACGGAAAAGCTTCTGGCTGTTAACCAGAAGATTTTCTGTGCTTTTGTGGATCTTGAGAGAGCATTTGATAAGGTTGTAAGGAAGAAAATGTGGGAACTGTTGCCGGGGTATGGTGTGGATGGCCGATTGCTAAGGGCTGTGCAATCTCTTTACTGTGACTGTAAAGCCTGTGTGCGGGTAGGGCATGACCTGTCACCCATGTTTAGCGTCCAAACGGGCGTAAAACAGGGTTGTGTCATGTCTTCCTGGCTGTTCATACTGTATCTCGACAGCTGTTTACAAAAGCTGAAAGATAGCTGTTTGGGTGTGAAATTGGGTGACATAAAAGTAAATTGTCTGCTGTATGCTGATGATGCAGTGCTTATTGCACCATCAGAGGCAGAACTGCAGGCATTAGTCACGTGTATGAAAGAGGAATGTGAAATTAAAGGTCTCCGTTTGAATGCTAATAAAACTAAGGTTCTGGTATTTGAAAGGGACGAAGAGAGAACGAAGTGTGAAATATGGGTAAATCAGGAATGTCTAGAACAGGTAAATGAAATTGTATACTTGGGGAGTGCTTTTAGCCGGGATGGAAGATGTGATTTAGATGTGGACAGGCGTGTCGCTGCCGGGAACAAAGTCAATGGTGCCCTGACTGCGTTAGTCAAAAGGCAAGGCGTAGCGAAGAGTGCACGCCTTGCAATACATAACGCAGTGTTGGTACCGACTTTGTTATATGGCAGCGAAACCTGGGTATGCCAGAAGAAGCATAAAAGTAAGTTGAATGCAGTGGAGATGCGATCTCTTCGTAAAATGTGCGGCGTTACTATGGCCGACCGAAAGCGAAACGAAGAGATTCGCAATATGGCAGGTTTGAAAGATGACCTTATCACAAAAATTGATAAGGGCGTGCTTCGGTGGTTTGGGCACGTTGAGCGAATGAGTGAAGACCGAATGGTGAAGAAAATATATAGCGCGAAAGTTAATATTAAAAGGTGTCGAGGTAGACCGAGACTAACTTTCGAAGACCATGTGAGCAAATTGCTCGAAGAGGGTAGGGTCAAGAGTACTCGGATACCTAGACGTGCATGTATGAAGAAGATAATGAATCTGAAAGAAGCGCAAGAGATATGTAAGGATCGTGACACTTGGCGATCTGTTCTCTCTGGCTACCCCGTCAGGGATTGTGCGTGAAGATAAGTAAAGTAAAGTAAATTGTATTGTATTTCTTTTAAAGTAACACCTGTGCAACATACCTCCGAGCTTATTTACTTATTTATTTTTAATTTACTCTCAGTGATCTATCAACACATTAGAAAGGCAAAGGCTTGTGTTTAAATGTTCATCATACTTTTTCACTTCTTTTAAGACTGAGCCTTGTAATTTCTTTTATGTGATAAGTGTGACAAATGAGCACACAGTTCACCTGATGGTAAGTGGTTGCTGTGGCCCATATTTCTATAACTATAAATCTATCAAAATGCAGATGCGTTGTCGCCCCTGAGGACTAGGATGGAATGCGGAAAGGATGAAATTTACGCTGGTACACTGGTCACAGAAGTGAGAGCATGGTTCTTCCCTGACAGAGCCATCTCATTCGTGCTACAACTGTACCAGTAATATAGCTGCATCATGGCTCTACCACGTAAAATTATTTTGGCATCAATCACTATTGCTGTTGTTCCGATTACACAAATTCACAGTGAAAAATCACCATGACTTTATCTTGTTTATGTGGTATATCACACTGAAAATGAAAAAAATGAAAATGAAAATGTTTATTTGTCTCAAAACAGTTACATGAATTATAAATGAGACATCCCCAGTAAGTAATTGATAATACTTGTGTTGGGGCTATCTCGCTCTTTCCCTTAATTATTAACAATATTGAGACTATTATACAAAACGTAAGTAAAGATAAATTTATGAAGAAAAAATAACAGTAATTGACTTATAAAGTAATTATTAGCTCTTTGTGTAACTGTAGTTATACGCCTGTGTGAAACTGTAGTGCATCTTGTTTTTAAACGTTCGTGAGTGCGTGTGTGTGTGTGTATGTATGTGTGTGCGTGTGCGCGCGCGCGCACGCGTGTGTGTGTGCGTGCGTTTATGTGTGTGAGTGTGTGTCTTCTTTGTAGTGCCGGTGTGTTCGAAGTGCATGTAATAGATTAAGCTCGGTGAGTACGTACATTATTGATAAGAAAGAAAAAAAAATTGCTTAACTAAGTCTATCTAAAATTTGTTCAGTTTCTTCGTATGTTAAGGTTTTTAACCACTCAGTTATTACCTTTTTGCATACGTGTGATACCTCATGGTGGAACTTTAATTTTACGTTTATTTTATTATAAATGTAGACTGATTAGGTTGCATTGTCTCCTTTCCTGACTGTCTTGGTTAAATGGAATAGATTTTTGTAAGTATAGTAATATAGTTTTCTAATTGAAAGTAAGCCACTGATTCTATATAGATCGTCGGTGGGGTATTTGTATGGTTTATAGTACATTACTTTTATAAGTGACCTTTGGGCTCTTTCTAACTCAAGGAATTTAACACTGCAGCTATATTATGGTTTTAGCACAAATAGGTTGGCTGGACGGGAGAAGGACCTTGCCCTCACGGAATACCAGCGTAAAATAACAGCTTAATACGTGTTTCGGATGGTGAGTGGAGAAAACTGGAGACCCATTTTACTAGAAAAAGGATTCATTCCACAAAACTCAGAAATGTTAGGTCTGGGACCAGTAGTGGTAGACAATAGGCTGTTACATTACGACTTTACAATAAATCTACAACTTTTAATTTTTTTATCTATGGATATTGCACAATTGTATTTTGTTACAGACATCAGGCTCAGTATACACAATGGGCTGTGGGGAACAGGGCCAATTGGGCAGACTGTCCCAACGTTCTGCTTCACGGGATGCCAGACAAGGGTTCAGTGAGTAATTCGGCTTCATTTATACAAATATTCGCTAATATTTGGTCTACTGTACTGTTTTTTTAGTATAAGGGTGACAATCAAGAACACACTCAAACTAATGGTATGTGGATGCTGTGGCCCATAGACATCTACATCGTTCGTCAGTTAAGAAGCAAAATTTAGATGCGTAGCCACCCCTGAGAACTAAGATGTAATGCCTCATTTCCAGTACAAAGGGTCTCTGGTTCACTAATAGAGGAAGATAGAAAAAGCATGTATATTTGAAGCTACAAAATATCGATGGTTATAAATGACTGCATATGTTTACATATTTTACTGTAGCAACAAATAGGAATCCGATATTACTGGTTTGTTTGATTCCTTTTATGCCCAGGAGACCATTTTAGTAGGAACCACCCTCTTACCTATACCGTTTTCTGTCACCAAATAGCAATGCTTACACCACTGTTCCTGTCTATTCTACATAGAGAGCCAGTACAATTTACAGGCTGTGAGTCATTCCAACTTAGTCCTCAGAGGTGACAACGCATATGTCGCCTTCTTTCTTTGAAGTTGGCTGCATGTGTTCATGGCTGAAGTTGACACCATCAGGTGGACTATACATTTGTTCCTCAGTTTAAAAAAGTTCTATTATAGTTTATTTAATGGATAACTTTTATCTAACAATTGCAAAATCAGCCCCCTTAAGTGACAATCGAGAATTTTGAGAAACTGTTAACAGTAATATTTTCAAATTATTTTACGTTGTGTTTCAATAGTGTAATTTTAAGGGCTGATTTAAATAAATAGAACTAAAAAAATAGTTGTATATTTATTAGGTATATATTTTGTAGAAAAATAATACAAAAAAGTTCACTAATTTGAGGGGGTAACAGAGCCAGGGACTGTTGTTGAAGCCATTTGTGGCATCCTTGGAGCTATCTCCATCGATGTTCCAACCATTCTACGGTAAAATAAAGACCAGGCTGGTGGTGGCAAATCGTTCCAGATTATAGCAGCGGTGAATTAAAAACTTCAGCGAGTCTAATCCTGGGTAGTGGAAGCCGACATTTTTCTCTGACTGAGAGTAAACTTATCAAATTTCTTGAGAAATGTTTTACAGCAGCAATTATTCTAAGATGATTGATATTTGTACAGGTGCGTTGCTGGTGCCATCCAAGGTGATCCTAAAGTGTGGGGCTTCTCGCGTGTGGGCGGGCTACCACGCCACCTTCATACTGGACGCGGCCGGGGAGAAAGTGTTCGCATGGGGACTCAATAACTACGGACAACTTGGTAACATATAGTTTTATATGTGCTAGAGTTATTACAAGAAGTAAAAAATAATAAATTTGCTTGTAAGATGCGTTCCGAAGCAGCCATTCACGTTTCTCTCGTTCTCTGGTCACCCTCTCCAATTACAATAAAACAAGATCTTAATTTTAGCTTTATTATGGTTGCATCACGAATGGATTGGCTCGACTGGGAAAAGACCAGACATGGAATTCCAGTGTGAAATAGCAGCTTAATGCTGCTGTGTTTCATATGGTGTTTAAAGAACCGGAGAGCCTTTTTACTGGGAACGAGGCATTCCATCTTAACCCTCAGGTGTGACAATGCATCTGCAGTTTGAATCTTAATTATTTCTGTCATAAAATATAATTACTTATTAGTTTATTTTGACCTTTGGAAAAAGACAAAAGATAGGAGTTTCTTTTTTGGTCAGGAGAACCTTATTTTATTATGACACTATATTTAAAACAAAATGGCAAATGTACCAAATATATATGTCACATGTAAAGTGCAGAGACCGAGTGGGTGTAAATAGTTGTAAATAATAAAATAATTCAGATATGCAGCTTATGTTACGGCCTACAGCTGCCCCTGCAAAGTCGAATCTTCCGGGGCCCATGAGCGGAAGATTCCACGAGCAGCCGCAGGTCGGGCCCAAATAACCACATGGAAGAATGTCCTATCATACTAAACTATATGGGAGAATGCTAGGAAAATATAGTACGTACCTGTATCAGACTCTAAGATCGCCCCAAGGCTCGGTCAGGCCGTAAGTGGGTGTAAGGTGCATGGCAAGTAGTGTTTAGTGATGTGTATGTGTCTGAGACCTGGACCAGCTTAGGAGACCAGCAGCGGCCGACTTCCAGGCTGCCCCACAATGCTGCATCGCTCCAGCAGGCTCCACCGCTGGACCATTTCTTTCTTCATTGTCACTATTTCAGTTTATTAACTTCATTGTACATTTAACTAACTTAAACTCGCCTAATTCCACATTCATCGTAGAATCGAACACGTGATACCCTACACAGTAACCGACACTAGTTCAAAGTTCAACACTCAATGTCCCGGATTCACTAATCGCCAAATTATAATTAGGGAACTAACGCGATCTCTTCATGAGTTATACGGTTCAGCGTTAAACACAACTAAGTTCCTTCGTTCGACATCTAACAACACGCCGCGATAAGAATTCAAAGTACGCCTCGTTGACACGTAAAGCTAACAAACCAGCCTACACACAAAAAAGGGCACTTAACGCGACGGCACAATTACAATGATTTCCAGACAATCAACCGGGAGACGCTCTCGAACAAGGAATGCGCGGTTCGAATCTTAGACCGTATATCTACTCGGCGCGGGCGTGCGAAATTCCGCATCACCCGAGCAAGTTAAATATTGCAAATTCACTTCAACGCGCCATCAGTAGCGAAGTAACACGCACTAAATCTAACCATCTGGACCCTACACCAGTCGCGTGAACTTCTGCCGCGATAACCGAGATACGCGGATTCACCGCATTGCGGCCAGCGAGCTACTCTCTCTTCGCTCACGCGTCGAGCCACTGCAAGCCGGACACGGCCGCCCCAACTGGCGGCGTTTACCTCACCTACATACCATCGGGTGACGCGCCAGCTCGAACGCGATTGGATGGCGTTCAAAATGACTAATTTTGGGCATAAACAGCTTATCTCTGTTTTAACTGTATAATCCTTGCAGGTATAACGGGGGAGAAACGCAAGACAGCGATATTTTCGCCTACGGAATGCGACGCGTTCAACATCGGCGTGACGTGGAGCGAGATCGCGTGCGGCCAGCATCACTCGCTGGCTCTCGATACCACGGGACAAGTGTACGCACTGGGACGCAACGAGTACGGCAGGTGAGCAATCATCAGTGTCACTCGCTGGCTCTCGATACTACGGGACAAGTGTACGCACTGGGACGCAACGAGTACGGCAGGTGAGCAATCATCAGTGTCACTCGCTGGCTCTCGATACTACGGGACAAGTGTACGCACTGGGACGCAACGAGTAGGGCAGGTGAGCAATCATCAGTGTCACTCGCTGGCTCTCGATACTACGGGACAAGTGTACGCACTGGGACGCAACGAGTACGGCAGGTGAGCAATCATCAGTGTCACTCGCTGGCTCTCGATACTACGGGACAAGTGTACGCACTGGGACGCAACGAGTACGGCAGGTGAGCAATCATCAGTGTCACTCGCTGGCTCTCGATACTACGGGACAAGTGTACGCACTGGGACGCAACGAGTACGGCAGGTGAGCAATCATCAGTGTCACTCGCTGGCTCTCGATACTACGGGACAAGTGTACGCACTGGGACGCAACGAGTACGGCAGGTGAGCAATCATCAGTGTCACTCGCTGGCTCTCGATACTACGGGACAAGTGTACGCACTGGGACGCAACGAGTACGGCAGGTGAGCAATCATCAGTGTCACTCGCTGGCTCTCGATACTACGGGACAAGTGTACGCACTGGGACGCAACGAGTACGGCAGGTGAGCAATCATCAATGTTATTCGCTGGCTCTCGATACTGCGGGACAAGTGTACGCACTGGGACGCAACGAGTACGGCAGGTGAGCAATCATCAGTGTCATTCGCTGGCTCTCGATACCGCGGGACAAGTGTACGCACTGGGACGCAACGAGTACGGCAGGTGAGCCATCAGCATCATCATTACCCATCACAAGTCACTCTAGTATAATACAAGCACGGTCCTGAGCTGCTGTTTATATATTCTACAAAACACACTACTGGTAATAAACATACATAAACTTCCTAGATTTGTGTTCTGAGATATATTTAATATCATAATCAGCTTGCTGGTTCGAGGTTGCCACTTAAGAAACCTTCCCCATCGGTGGTTCTACGAGGTATACGGCCGCATCATCGTCACTTCAGGTTACTGATCTATAACAGATCATCATCATCATTACAGCCTATCAAAAGTCCACTGTGTGTCCCTCTTACGCGACACCTACGGGACATAATGGGATAGTGGGGGTGGTGACGTGAATTGAAATTATAGAATAGCTTAAGTGGATTTTATAGGTGAAATGGATTACGTTTCAATTTGGCAACCGGCATATGATAAATGGAGGACACGCATCTGGTGAACGCCGGCAGCTACTTCTCGTACTTTTGGTTGATACCCGCGTGGTGCACTCCTCGTTGTCTTGCGCAAGTTACCCAAATTTAACAAAGCTGACGGCCGTGATTTTAATATTATAATAATTTAAACTGATATAGCAATGCGTGGTCTGCGAGCATGATGCGGGGCACGGTATGTCCGCCTGCGGGCTTGTTTGACTAACACTGGGGGCGTTGACTGCTCGGTTGCCGGTCGCAAAAAGGAATGAATAAAATGAATAAATCAAGGGTAAAAGGTAAAGGGGGGTTAATTTTAATTCCTTGCACATGACATTACTTAATAATAAAATATATCTTTCAATTAAATTTCAAGAACATTTGTATCTTCTTCTTCTTCTTTTTCCTTTATGGCGGTTACGATGGATTCGCCAATGACAATTCGCATCTTCAAAGTGCTATTTTCTCTACCTAGATCAAAACTCCACAAGCTGGACTTTAAAACTAATTAATATGGGTATTTTGCTGTAGGTTAGGATTAGGCGAGAAGTCTGGCGACGCTGAAGTCCTGGAACCGATACCGAAGCTGCAGGACAAGAAGTGCATTTGCATAGCGGCTGGCACCTGCAATTCCTTTGCAATCACCGACGCGGGTGAGTTTTTAATCATTAAGTTATGGTTTCTGCTGAAAAAATATTGGAAATTAATAAACAAATCATTTTTTTTAGATCAGATTTTAGATTTATGTGGTGCAAGAAAATCCATCATCCTATTTTATCTTGTAGATAGTGTGACTTTCGAAAATGTCTGAAATATTGTACGGCTTTCGATAGATAGTTGTATAACCACCGTGTTTACGCTAATAGCTTTTATATGTGGAAGAGCTGAAGAGCATGCTGGAGCTATATTATGCTTGTATCACAAATGGGTCGGCTCGACCGTGAATGGACCACGCACTCGCAGAATACCAGAGTAAAATAGCAGCTCAATGCTGCTGTGGTTGATTTGGTGAGTGTAGAGAACCGGAGACCCTTTTTACTGGAAAAGAGGCATTCCATCTTAGTCTTCAGGGGTGGCAACTTATTTTGATTTTTAATCGATGATAAATGTATACGTTTATGGGTCACAGATTCCACTTACCATCAGGTGGATTGTGTACTTGTTTGTCTACGATCTTACCAGCCTAGCCACTCAAGGTTCTTGTATGAGGGCGAGGTCAATGTTGTCCTTTGCTAAGTAAACCTCCACCATTGCAGAAGGAAGCATTTGCCGTATGGTGAAGATTTGCCTGGAGGACCCCTTGATCTTGATCTTAAAAGTTATCATTTTAAAACTATGGACGACTGCCGCCTGCTGCTCATAAACAGTGTTAAAAGCTTTGAAATCCATTAGTACATCGCTCGCCTAAGCTGCGTTAGCCTTTATTGTATATGCACCTTGAGGTTACGCGCATAGGGATTTATTTCACGCAGGTAGCACGAGTGAGACTTGGGAATTTAAAATAAGTTGAAATACGCGATAAAATCCGTAAAGAGCAATGGCAGACTTTCATACATAAAATTAGTTGAAAAGAAATGGTAGTGTCTATATACCAAAAATATCTTAAAATGTTAAACGTCAGTCCCTTAATAACTCTGTCAAAGAATTTTGTACGGAGAAGGCGTCAAAAAAAAGATATTTACATTTGAACCTTTTTAGGTTATGTCCTATGTCAATTGGAAAAAGTCATGCTTCCTGTGGTTGTTTGATGTTAGCTTAATACATAATACATAATTGAGAGTTTTTAGATTATTGAATCTCTATTATATATTTGCATACTATAAATGTATATTTCTGGCATGGCTCCAGGGCTTTTGTACCATAGTGACATTCTCAGAAGGGCTAGAACCCAGAGCCATAAAGCCAGTAAAAAAAACTGACATTTTATTTTAGCTAGTGTTGGCATAACATTAAATGGAATTGTTACATAGTACTATCATTGAGATAATGTATTATTGTAGGAAATTCTTCGTAAGATACTTATTCTCAGCTATATCACTTTTATTTTTGTTATTACTGATAGTACAGTTATTACTAATAATAAGTTAATATAAAAATATTTTGTGTGTTGTGTTGGTAGTGTTACAAAGTGTATACGAAAATAGTGTGAATATACTAAATGGCAACATTTGAATAGAGTAAAATGATATAAGTCATTTGATATTCGCAAAAATGTTTGTTTTTTTCTGTGGCTTTAATTAAAATACATTTTTATTTGAAAAATCATAGAAAAATAATAAAACTCATTTTATATATAACTTATTTCTAGACGCTATAATTTTTGTCAACTATTTTTCTGCCATTGCTCTTTTAGTTTCATTGTTTCGTTTCGTTATTTGCGTGTAGTGGCGGTGTAAGAATATCCACTACTCTATATCATCTTGCGGGTGTCGGTAAGAGGCGACATAGGGAAACAAATCAAGAGATGGGCAGTAGTGAGTCTTCCTTATCATGGCTAAAAAAACGGCGTTTGCTAATCTGTATGCTATTTATGGCAAATATGGGGGATATTGAAATGGATGTGAGACAAAAGGCAATGTATGAGGCCTATATTAAGTGGTGGACTTAAGGCCATAGCAGTAACATATAATATTGAAAGACAGATATTAAAATTGCAAATTTGCATATTATATCTCAATATATATCGATTATTATTCATGTCTTCCAACATTACTTTGTTTCAAAAAGAAGTCATATACTAATCTCTTAAAACAGCCCTTATTTGGCGTTTTTACGTTAATATTATTAGTATTAGACGTTTAGTTGTTTGTGTGACGGAGAGTATTTGTTAAGTGTATAATGTGGTTGTATTAGTGAATGTGTTTGTGTGCAGGCGAGGTGTTCGCTTGGGGAATGGGCAGCGAAGGGCAGCTGGGCACGGGCGCGGCGGCCGACGTCAGCGAGCCCGCGCCCGCGCTCGCCGCCGCGTACCAGGCGCGCCCTGCGGTCCGCGTGTCCGCCGGCGGACAGCACGCCGCGCTGCTGCTGCCCGAGGTACGTACTGACACACTGCTGTACTTACTGCCGCGTACCAGGCGCGCCCTGCGGTCCGCGTGTCCGCCGGCGGACAGCACGCCGCGCTGCTGCTGCCCGAGGTACGTACTGACACACTGCTGTACTTACTGCCGCGTACCAGGCGCGCCCTGCGGTCCGCGTGTCCGCCGGCGGACAGCACGCCGCGCTGCTGCTGCCCGAGGTACGTACTGACACACTGCTGTACTTACTGCCGCGTACCAGGCGCGCCCCGCGCTCGTCGTGTCCGCCGGCGGACAGCACGCCGCGCTGCTGCTGCCCGAGGTACGTACTGACACACTGCTGTACTTACTGCCGCGTACCAGGCGCGCCCTGCGGTCCGCGTGTCCGCCGGCGGACAGCACGCCGCGCTGCTGCTGCCCGAGGTACGTACTGACACACTGCTGTACTTACTGCCGCGTACCAGGCGCGCCCTGCGGTCCGCGTGTCCGCCGGCGGACAGCACGCCGCGCTGCTGCTGCCCGAGGTACGTACTGACACACTGCTGTACTTACTGCCGCGTACCAGGCGCGCCCTGCGGTCCGCGTGTCCGCCGGCGGACAGCACGCCGCGCTGCTGCTGCCCGAGGTACGTACTGACACACTGCTGTACTTACTGCCGCGTACCAGGCGCGCCCTGCGGTCCGCGTGTCCGCCGGCGGACAGCACGCCGCGCTGCTGCTGCCCGAGGTACGTACTGACACACTGCTGTACTTACTGCCGCGTACCAGGCGCGCCCTGCGGTCCGCGTGTCCGCCGGCGGACAGCACGCCGCGCTGCTGCTGCCCGAGGTACGTACTGACACACTGCTGTACTTACTGCCGCGTACCAGGCGCGCCCTGCGGTCCGCGTGTCCGCCGGCGGACAGCACGCCGCGCTGCTGCTGCCCGAGGTACGTACTGACACACTGCTGTACTTACTGCCGCGTACCAGGCGCGCCCTGCGGTCCGCGTGTCCGCCGGCGGACAGCACGCCGCGCTGCTGCTGCCCGAGGTACGTACTGACACACTGCTGTACTTACTGCCGCGTACCAGGCGCGCCCCGCGCTCGTCGTGTCCGCCGGCGGACAGCACGCCGCGCTGCTGCTGCCCGAGGTACGTACTGACACACTGCTGTACTTACTGCCGCGTACCAGGCGCGCCCTGCGGTCCGCGTGTCCGCCGGCGGACAGCACGCCGCGCTGCTGCTGCCCGAGGTACGTACTGACACACTGCTGTACTTACTGCCGCGTACCAGGCGCGCCCTGCGGTCCGCGTGTCCGCCGGCGGACAGCACGCCGCGCTGCTGCTGCCCGAGGTACGTACTGACACACTGCTGTACTTACTGCCGCGTACCAGGCGCGCCCTGCGGTCCGCGTGTCCGCCGGCGGACAGCACGCCGCGCTGCTGCTGCCCGAGGTACGTACTGACACACTGCTGTACTTACTGCCGCGTACCAGGCGCGCCCCGCGCTCGTCGTGTCCGCCGGCGGACAGCACGCCGCGCTGCTGCTGCCCGAGGTACGTACTGACACACTGCTGTACTTACTGCCGCGTACCAGGCGCGCCCTGCGGTCCGCGTGTCCGCCGGCGGACAGCACGCCGCGCTGCTGCTGCCCGAGGTACGTACTGACACACTGCTGTACTTACTGCCGCGTACCAGGCGCGCCCCGCGCTCGTCGTGTCCGCCGGCGGACAGCACGCCGCGCTGCTGCTGCCCGAGGTACGTACTGACACACTGCTGTACTTACTGCCGCGTACCAGGCGCGCCCTGCGGTCCGCGTGTCCGCCGGCGGACAGCACGCCGCGCTGCTGCTGCCCGAGGTACGTACTGACACACTGCTGTACTTACTGCCGCGTACCAGGCGCGCCCCGCGCTCGTCGTGTCCGCCGGCGGACAGCACGCCGCGCTGCTGCTGCCCGAGGTACGTACTGACACACTGCTGTACTTACTGCCGCGTACCAGGCGCGCCCTGCGGTCCGCGTGTCCGCCGGCGGACAGCACGCCGCGCTGCTGCTGCCCGAGGTACGTACTGACACACTGCTGTACTTACTGCCGCGTACCAGGCGCGCCCTGCGGTCCGCGTGTCCGCCGGCGGACAGCACGCCGCGCTGCTGCTGCCCGAGGTACGTACTGACACACTGCTGTACTTACTGCCGCGTACCAGGCGCGCCCTGCGGTCCGCGTGTCCGCCGGCGGACAGCACGCCGCGCTGCTGCTGCCCGAGGTACGTACTGACACACTGCTGTACTTACTGCCGCGTACCAGGCGCGCCCTGCGGTCCGCGTGTCCGCCGGCGGACAGCACGCCGCGCTGCTGCTGCCCGAGGTACGTACTGACACACTGCTGTACTTACTGCCGCGTACCAGGCGCGCCCTGCGGTCCGCGTGTCCGCCGGCGGACAGCACGCCGCGCTGCTGCTGCCCGAGGTACGTACTGACACACTGCTGTACTTACTGCCGCGTACCAGGCGCGCCCTGCGGTCCGCGTGTCCGCCGGCGGACAGCACGCCGCGCTGCTGCTGCCCGAGGTACGTACTGACACACTGCTGTACTTACTGCCGCGTACCAGGCGCGCCCTGCGGTCCGCGTGTCCGCCGGCGGACAGCACGCCGCGCTGCTGCTGCCCGAGGTACGTACTGACACACTGCTGTACTTACTGCCGCGTACCAGGCGCGCCCCGCGCTCGTCGTGTCCGCCGGCGGACAGCACGCCGCGCTGCTGCTGCCCGAGGTACGTACTGACACACTGCTGTACTTACTGCCGCGTACCAGGCGCGCCCTGCGGTCCGCGTGTCCGCCGGCGGACAGCACGCCGCGCTGCTGCTGCCCGAGGTACGTACTGACACACTGCTGTACTTACTGCCGCGTACCAGGCGCGCCCCGCGCTCGTCGTGTCCGCCGGCGGACAGCACGCCGCGCTGCTGCTGCCCGAGGTACGTACTGACACACTGCTGTACTTACTGCCGCGTACCAGGCGCGCCCTGCGGTCCGCGTGTCCGCCGGCGGACAGCACGCCGCGCTGCTGCTGCCCGAGGTACGTACTGACACACTGCTGTACTTACTGCCGCGTACCAGGCGCGCCCCGCGCTCGTCGTGTCCGCCGGCGGACAGCACGCCGCGCTGCTGCTGCCCGAGGTACGTACTGACACACTGCTGTACTTACTGCCGCGTACCAGGCGCGCCCTGCGGTCCGCGTGTCCGCCGGCGGACAGCACGCCGCGCTGCTGCTGCCCGAGGTACGTACTGACACACTGCTGTACTTACTGCCGCGTACCAGGCGCGCCCTGCGGTCCGCGTGTCCGCCGGCGGACAGCACGCCGCGCTGCTGCTGCCCGAGGTACGTACTGACACACTGCTGTACTTACTGCCGCGTACCAGGCGCGCCCCGCGCTCGTCGTGTCCGCCGGCGGACAGCACGCCGCGCTGCTGCTGCCCGAGGTACGTACTGACACACTGCTGTACTTACTGCCGCGTACCAGGCGCGCCCTGCGGTCCGCGTGTCCGCCGGCGGACAGCACGCCGCGCTGCTGCTGCCCGAGGTACGTACTGACACACTGCTGTACTTACTGCCGCGTACCAGGCGCGCCCCGCGCTCGTCGTGTCCGCCGGCGGACAGCACGCCGCGCTGCTGCTGCCCGAGGTACGTACTGACACACTGCTGTACTTACTGCCGCGTACCAGGCGCGCCCTGCGGTCCGCGTGTCCGCCGGCGGACAGCACGCCGCGCTGCTGCTGCCCGAGGTAACACTGGCACTGGCTTCACTGCTGCACTTAAGTACTGACGCTACACTTACTGCACTGACACACTGCTTCACTGAACTACTGATGCTACACTTACTGCACTGTAGATATGATAACCGCGTCGTCGCGCCGCCGTCGCCGTGAGTTAATGTCGACGCGTCGTCGTCGCCTAGTCGCCTCGCTCTCGACCATGTTCGTCGCTCACTCAGTCGAGTAGAATATTTCACCAAGTGAATGTGTATTTTTCTGTGGTGTACTGCTCAGTGCAAGTTGAACAATAAGGTCAAGTCAACGCAACGTTATTCGCGAGAATTTCTGCAATATCGGGGGACTTCACTCGAAACTAAATGGCGTCCACTACCATCTCGAGACAGCGACGCCGGCCTTGGTCTTTCTGACAGAGACGCAGGTGTGCTCTCTGGCTGATACTTCGTATCTCTCCTACCTGGGGTACAAATTATAACACTCCTTTGTGCCTCGAGCCGGAGTTAGCGTATACATCAGAGAGTACATATGTTCTCGACGCCTCGGCAGTCTTGAAGGTTCGGACCTGTCCATCCTTTGGCTACGCTTAGACAGCGACGACCATCCGCGCGTCTATAATTGCCTCTATAGATATATATATGTAGTGCCGTGTACTGGCGGTTAAGAATATCCACTACCCCATATCTTCCCGTGGGTGTCGTAAAAGGCGACAAAGGGAAACAGGCAGGAGATGGGCAGCAGCATCTTCCTGATAATAGCCAAAATAACAATAAAAAACTGCGGTTGCCAACCCGCTCGCCAAGCGTGGCAACTATGGCAATAGTCCCCGGCGGCCCCGCTATTCCTGGCTACGGTGGCGACCATGGTAACGGCGGGGCAGGGGGTGCTAAGAATCTCCGGTGGAGGTTCGGTTGCCACCTACGACGACTCGACCTGGCAACATACAACGCACGCACCCTGAGGACTGACGAGAAGATTGTGGAGCTGGAAGAAGAGATAGACAAGTTACGCTGGCATATTATAGGATTATCCGAAGTCCGAAGAGAGGGGGAGGACACGGTAATCCTCGAATCCGGCAACTTGCTCTATTACCGGGAGGGCGACCATCTGTCCCAAGGAGGTGTCGGATTTATCGTCCACAAGTCTCTCGTTAACAACGTTGTAAAGATTGAGAGTGTGTCGACGAGGGTTGCGTACCTTATACTCAGAATCACCAAACGGTATTCGCTGAAGGTCATACAGGTTTACGCACCAACCTCGGCACACCCCGATCAGGAG